TGTTGAAGTGAATGGGAAGAAGCGTTGATTCACTTTGAATGGGGTGACGTCACGCATTGCCGAACTGCATTGTGGTTCCGTCGCTTCGAGTTGCTCGTTTCAAAAGTTGAGAAAGGTTCAACTTTCGAAGCTTCGACAGAAGCGTCAGCCAATCAGATCATATGCCAGTACAAGCTCTAGCCAATCAAACCGCGTGCTTGTGTGTCTGGGGCGGGAGATTCATGTGATTGGTTGTTGATCGAGTTTCAGACACGCCCACCGGCAAGCTTCAACGCACGCTGCCGTGTGGACGCTGCGTCACCCACATTATAGCCTGTGTGACTGCTTGTGATGAAAATGCTGTACTTGCTGATCTCCATATATTTATCCTGCAGTACACGAATGGATCAGAGTCCTAACACAGTGGAATGTTTTGACGTGGGATGTAGGCTGTTAAACACACAGCTGCAGAGAAAAGGCCTCGGCATCCCACAAGTGAGTTAAACATCAGCTTTAACCATCTGATGTTCCAGGAAAGTTGGGATACTATCAGTCGGAGCTCAGAGTAATCTGCTCTGCTTCCTATTTGCAGCGTCCGTCTACTATCTGCAGACCTCTCTGCTTTCAACACTGAGATCCATCATCCGTCATATTCTGAGCTGAGATCACTTATAGTCCTCTCCCTCATGTCATAGAAAGTCCATCAAACACTGAAAATAACCAGCTTGTTGACTCCATACACTGCATGCATATTGAACCAGAACTACAACAGGGCTTAGCTGATTACCTCTTATGCATCATTACAACTGGAAACCTGATCCCTTTGTTTTAAATGTACGACCACAGAAGGCAGAAACATGAGTCCCACAAGCAGATGGGCAAAGTCGGGATCATGATATCCTCCATGTTATGTTAAGCAAATATTAGACATAGAAGCATGCCAATCTAATTACAGTAAGGGACTTATTGCTTATTTATCATATGCACAGTAGGGATGAAAGAGATTTGAAATGATGTTATGAAATACTATTTCCAGGACTCTAAAAGAAGATGTTCTCAGTTTGAAGTTTCTTTTATCTCCGTGACGCATTTTACCTTTGATGGTAAAACCACACACCTCTTTGCACCTTGCAACCAGTCATTCATTCAACTCCCAAAACCACACCAAACTCTGGCATCACTTTCTCCGCTGCCGGAGCCAAAGATCTGTCATCCAAAAGAGATCAACACTTTGGCAGCAAGAGGCATGCAGGTGCTCTGCAGGGGACTGCTATCTTCCCTACTGAAGCGGCCCTATGATGTTCGGGTTTGTCCTGTAGTGTTCTTTCGGTGTTGATGCATGTAAACGCTCTGCAAAGGATCAAATCCCTGCGTTCCCTGCAGAGGGAGTTTCTCTCTCTTTAGTTGTGCAGCTTTCTAAGTCTGGTGCAGCTTTGGGAGGCGGTACATCTCTTTAGTCTCACTTTACACATTATCATATCCTCAAAGCTGACCTGTGGCAGAGCGGTGTTGAGTTGTCTCTGCAGGGAGTCTCTCTCGTGGCTGACTTCGTGCAGTTTGCCTTGCGTCAGGCCCAGATTCTCCTGCGTCTCTCTCAGAGTGTCCAGAAGACGATCCCTCTCCTCCAGCATGGACACCATCAGCGACTCAAAGTGACCTTCAGAGTCCGACTGCAGCGGGGAGCCCGAGCCCCGCCGCCCGCCGCCCCCCTCCGACTCGCTGATGGTGGGCATCACCTCGCACATCATCTGCAGCCAGGGATGGACAGGGAAAAGGATCAAAAGAGGAGAAACACTTTAGAGTTGGAATACAGGCATGAAGCAGTCAGGACAGAAAGTCGGTTAACTGCAACATTTCAGTATGAAAGCTAGGGCGGCAAATTAATCAACATCTTAAAGAAATTGGAATATGGACTAGCACAATATTGAAATTGAAGAAAGCTGGATATTTGTTTAAGGCTAAATAAAAACATTCTCGGACTTACTCAAACATATGTACAGTATTTTATAGTGGATTTGATTTTCGTTGACAGGTGGCTGAAAAATCGTCTCATATCAAATCCAAAATATCATCAAACCCTTTAACACAATGTCACATGTTGTGCAGCCCGAATTCATGCTCAATATTCAATTATGTAAAAGCCAGAACACAGATCTATAAAATGCCGGTATTACTCCCGTCCAAGGAAAGTTCAGTTTGTAACTTATTGGTTGGACTTTTCGTACGTCTTTCATTCTCCTCCCCAAAAGCTTAATAAAAAAGTGTCAGACTAAAAGATTGCCGTCGTAAACAAATAATCTCAGGGTCTAAAGTTACACCGTTTTCCTTCAAATTACAAATACATTAAAAAGACAACAGTTCGAAATTCATTGGAGCTTAATTGTAAATTAAAGTGGTTTACAACCTGGGATTTAAAGTGGCTTATGTTCTAAAGCAGACCCCCCCTCTAGACAGATTTGAGATAACACAGAAGACAGAGGGCAAGTAAGGTGCATCGCTGGGGTGATTTTATCAGCATACTTTGCAGACACCAAAGCATTGGCTATTACGAAAGTGTACTGACAAAGCAGAAGAGAACACTTACTGATGATTATTAATAATGGTTAACTAGAGTAGACGGTTGAGTTAACCTACATTGGTACTGTTATGAAATAACTGAGAGCTTGAAATCAATTAAGAAAGCTGTGTTTGTGTCTGGAGTTTGTTGAGTAATGTTGCATCTAACAACAGCTGCAGGAAGGTCTGCAGAATTAGAGCCACTCTCCACACCAAGGAGCTTAGGACCTGCAGACAGACTGCTAGACAAAAAGCCAAGAATCATGTGAGCTGGATTTAAAATACCTACAAGGAATAAAGACTTATATATTAGAACAAGTGCAGTGGGGAACTCAGTGGGAGCCAGAGCAAGGCTACCATTTCATTTTAAGCAGCGCCTGAAATGCCAAAAGCCATTTGCTTTCAGAAACTGTTTTTCGGTTCAGTGCACCAACGCTTAACTGTATCTCACAAAAAGAGCTGGACCATACCTGATACACTCAAATGAACTAGATAGAAATCAAATGAACTGGATAGAAATCAAATTAACGAGATAGAAATCAACCTGTCATCCTTAATTAATTATCACAATGCATGTTTTAGATAGACCCTATTTCTGTGGAAGGAGGGAAATGTAACCTAATTTAACAGTAATACAAATACAAACCATCACTGCATATCGAGGTCAGGCCATTCAGGCTCAACAATGTTTATGAGGGGGAGGGTCACACAGCATCCATGAGAGGGAGTGACAGATGGTGGGTCCAGTGTAACTCAGCACAGACATTATAACGTCAAAAGGTAAAGATGACAACCTCCGGAAGCTAAATAGATTTCAGCGTAAAACTCTCTAGCCAGGTGCATCTCTTTCCATTGGACGAGGATGTTAACTGAGAGGCAAATCTGGCCAAACTAGGACTAAAGGCTGCACCACTTGTGACTCAATGAGTAATTTGTGCAATTATGATTTTAAAATAATCAAATTCACTTTAGATTAGGTTGCAACATTCTGCAGTAATGGGTTTTTGAAATGCCAACAACTGAAGTACAGTTCTATCAGTGTTATCCACTATGATAAAATCCAGAAATATGATTGGTCACTTCTAATACAAACCACCCACATCTGACACTTACCCATAGCCAGTCCATAGACACTATACATTACATTGATGCAAACTATGCAGAAAATACATTTCTATTTAATTAATGGCAGTCCTTCACGCCCCTCCGAAAATATTGCACATCTGTATACGAAGCTACATCTTTAAATATCTGTACAGTTTTTAACTTTTCGTAACAATACTGCACATACTTTTTTTCAATATTTCATGTAAATATTTCTCTATATTTTAAAATAATGTCTACAATTGCTTTACTTTTTTGTTAATTTTCTTTCAATGTATCACTGTGTTTAGGTATGCACCATGTACACCAAGGCACATTCCTCGCATTTGTAAACCATACTTGGCAGTAAACATATTTCTGATTCAGATTTTTACTTTTGATTTCTATATTATCTGCCTAAAGATGTGAACCTCTCACCTTTGAAGAATGTAGTTATTCCAACAGCCTTTGTAATCCACGTTACTTTATGATGCCAAGTAAACGTCAACAAAGTCCAGGTACTCCAATCGTGTGTTAAAACCTTCACAAATATCCTTTAGTTTAGAATATAAAATCCATTTCCAGGCAGGGCTGTAATAAGGCTGTCAAAAAACGAGTCTTCTGGGTGAAAAAAAGAGGGGATAATTTCCTAAAGGCCTCAAAGAGAAACCCACATCAAGTGAGCAGAGGGGCAGTTTTCCAAGTTTGGCCGGCTAACCCAACGTTAGCAAGCTAGCATTAAGTAAGCTTGCATATATACAGTAGATTTGGAAGTAAAGTGTCTTATTTTTGCTTTTCAAAACAAACGGACATTACGTTTAACCAGCTGGTAATAAGATATCACACCAGCTAGACATGTGATGGTACAGTAAGGTTAAGTGGAAACAGTTGTAGCCCGGCTAGCCTTAGCTAATTTGAAACAGAATTATTTGGGAGTTTAAAAGTCGACAGCTAGCCAATGTTAGCCACTAGCCAGCTAGGTAGCTAACGGTTGCTAGATTAAATGGACTAACTTCTAAAGATACTCTCTATTCCATATAAAAGTAGACAACATGGTAAAACATCTCATAGCTTTTATCTTACATTACCGAAAATATTGATTTAAAAATAGGTTTTAAAAGCTTTGCTAAAAGTGATTAATCTATCAAGTAGCTATGAAGTTAGCCACTGACGTTAGCTTCCCGTCGCGTCACCACATCATCACAAACTTCCAGCTAACATTGAAACGTTAGCGATGCTTTGATCCGTTTGGAAAACCCCAAACCGCAAATAAAAACGTTGTAATCCCTTCGTGTCCGTCCGAGTTGGTGGTGTTGTCTCGGTTCTTTCCCCCAAAAAGGTCCTTGAGTCCGGTCCTTCCCTGTCGCCTCTTGCCTGCCAGCCTCGGCAGTCGGGACACTCTGAAGCTAGCTCTGTTAGCATTAGCCTGGAAGAGATACAGGTCTGCAACAGGAGGAAAAGGGAGAGCAGTTCCTGAAGACACGAAACTGAGTATAAAGTGAAATGTGCAATAAGACCATAAAATACAAATAAAATAACACACATTTATACAAACCTAAGAAGTTGGAGTAAAACATGTGATGTGCAGCAAGAAAATATAAAACAAAACAACACTTAAAATAAATTGAATATATAAGAAGTTAAAAATAAATATGTGCAATAAGACAATAACATAAAATAGAATAATGCATATTTATATAAACCTGAGAAGTTAAAGTGAAAATGTGCAATAAGACAATAACATTAAATATAATAATACATATTTATACAAACGTAAGAAATTAAAGTAAAAATGTGCAATAAGACCATAAAATGAGAAACAGGAGGAAATGGAAGAGCAGCATTTTCACTTCCTGTGGAAAATCCTTCAAATGGAAGAATGACCTAAAACCACAGTTTGCATAAATACAATGACATGTGTTTCTGTCATCGGTCTGGAATGTTTTTAAATGCTAAATGACAGCTTAATAAATAACAAAAAAAGTTAAAATGTGCATTAAGACGATAAAAAAAGAATACAAATGTTTATATAATCATAAGAAATAAAAGTTAAAATGTGCAATAAAATAATAAAATAAAATAAAAATAACTTATTTTTCTAAAGATAAGAAGTTAAGGAAATAATGTGCAAAAAGAAGATAAAATAGAATATAATATTTGTAATTTGTATTTTATAATATGTAGAAATGTTCACATTGTGCTTAAATATATAAAAATAATCAATATGTTAAAATGTGTATATAAAAATATATGCCGTGATGTTTAAGTATTAATAAAACCAGAATTTTGCTTGGATAGTACGGTGTAATATTGTATGTTTTGTAATTTTGATGTTACATTGGGCATTTGAATTATGTTAGATAACATATCTGATATATATTATGTTGGTTTCACAATAAAAAGAATAGTGGCGCCATCGTGTGGCATATCAACAGAATAATACATAATGCAGAATCTCTACATTATAATGTTACTGAGAGGATTCAATTACCCCGTTTCTACAACTGAACGTTAGCTTAAATATGGGTTTAAAAACCTTATAATTGCAATAATTTGACAAATGGGACTGTTTTCATTCAATCTCTGAAACCTCAAAGTAATCTACTCTTTATAATCAGGATTTATAAACGTATGTTATATCAAGTTGTTTTATTAAACACTTTTCTCCCTCATATCTATATGACAACTTTCCTTTACCAGTCATCTTCAACAGTAAATAAAAACAGAGCTCAATCCCAGGTCAAATGCACACTAAAGGGTAATAATGAGGTTCAGCAACAGGAAAGCATTACAAATAATGCCATTTGTATTATATTAAATAAACTATCCAAGATGTGTGTTTGGTGCAAGAGAGAAAGAGAAATGAATTGGACAAAAGCAAAAGAGATGTGAGAGAGTTTTTATTGATACATTAAATCTAAATGAGTTAGGATAAGGCGGAACAAGGAAGTTTTACATGTACTATTAACATTAAGCATTATACTGGTTGGATACACATATCAATCAAGTTTTAAATCATAATGGAGTACATGATATAACAATCACTTGTGAAGCTACATAGGATTACACTGTAAACAGTGGTTAACACCACAATAAACACCACTTACAACCCATAAGGCACAAATGAAGACTCGTTATCTGATAGCATTAAAAAACAAGAAGCTTAATGTAGTCAAATGCAACCAATAAAAAAATGGGTGTTCTCAAATGGCCGCTTTCTTAGTTTTCAAAAGAGGGCAACGGTTGGTATTTAACCTTTGATGCTCTGACTTTGTACAGGGCCACTGTACTGATCATGCCAACGGCTGCAAGAAGACATCCAACGATGAACACCAGGTTCAGATTCAGGGGGGTCCCTGGAGAGAAAGAGAAGCGTTATTTTAATTTGGCATTTCCAAAGACTAACTCCTCAGAGGACGTGGTCGAATTGTCTTATTAGTCCAGGAAGGTCCCTTACCGAGTGAAATTACCCGAGGTCTCTAAGTGGCATCCATGACAACAGCTTTTTAAAATGTTGATGATAGGAAAGGAGCTTCGATGCTTGATATCTCCTTTAGGATACACTGGAAAATCCTGCCCCACAATACCTAAGGCCCATCACTTTTTCACTAAAGTTAGAACCTAATCTGCTCATTCTCATATCAGTATCCATGCTTTAATGATAAAAAATATCCTTTTTTTTTTCATACTGCCTGTGCTGCAGCAACTCTTTTCACCGTCTGTCTGAAGCCAGAGCCTAGTCTGTTGTGAATGGTCAACCACTTAGAGATGTCCCGCCCCTTACATAGAATCTGTTGCAGCGCCAGCCAATAGGAGCACAAGTTTTACATAGTGATGTCACTATGTTCCAGAAGTCCCATTAAGGAAAAGTGGTTAGGAAAAGACATAGGACCTAATTTTCACTTTTCAATCGTAGCCTCAAAGTAGGAAGGTGTTCTGAGGGAAAACGTACCTGGGCTCCCGGTGCTCTCCGCTGATCTCTTCAAACGCAGAGGACCCTGGGAAATGAAGTGCCTGGCACTCTGACTGATAGCCTCTCTCTTGCGGTGATGATGATGCCCAGTAAGGGGGGAGTTGATGCACCGCTGTGAGCACCTGGTGCCGTTGCTCCCTGCCTCACATATCAGCACTGAACAGCTGATGTACACCTGAACGCAAAACAACACGCTGTCATTACATCAGCAGATATACAGACTTCTCATCAAGTGGAAGAATAACAGAGCTGTGGTCGGATCAAAGACAAGATATATTGACACTTTTGTACTTTTACTTTTGTAAAAATGTCAGACTACATGCAACAGAGTATTCCTACACTGTGGTATTAATTATTTGGATTAAGTAAAAGATCAGAGAGTATAGACACATATTAGATTGTTCACCTGGTCGTGCAAGCCGAGGAATTTGAAGGCCTCCATGCTGAACCTGAACTGTCTCGGGTTGGCCCTCTGATGCACTTTAACCGTTTGGTCCAAATTACACCTACAGTAACAACAAAAAGAAAAGTTAAGAAATATTGCTTCTTTGAGTCCATGCCTCACAATTGGTAATTGCTAAAATGTCTAATCTAATGCTAATTTTGATACATTAAAAGGAAATCAATTCAGAAACCAATAGAAATAAATTCAGACACCAATAGAAATAATTTCAGACACAAATAGCCACATTTGGCGTAAAATACTAGTTTATTTTTGCATGTACAAAAGTGTGTACCTGATGGAGGACTGCAGATGGAAATGAGAAGCAAGCAGAAATGTTCTCTTTTTGAGATTAACCTATGTGTATTGATGGTCCTTGTTCAATAAAGACAATAATAATAATGGTTTTGCCTGATTAAATCCCATATTAATGCACTGCCTGAAAACACCTACGGGCAGTTTAGTTACAAACCTCTGACACAGCACATCTTTCCCAATGCATTGTATGTCCCCTGTTGCCACTAGATGGCGTGCTCATGCCTACCCATTCTCGATGATGGAGTATGTTGGCCAGTAGTTGGGGGTGTCATATGGCGTCGCGCTGCAGGACTCCACAAACAGCTGGGTGTTGTCGACGGTAGATTTGGCCTCTATCTGCATGTAGA